TTTGTAATGCCCGTGTTCTTTCCTGTATATCACTGGCGTTATGTCAAAACTCTTCCTTCTGTAATCTCATTCTTACTTCTTTATCGCTCAGCGGTGGTTTTGTTAGCTTAATCAGATCATCATGAGCCAGACATCGTCGATAAATACCTCATATGCTCTAAATCAGGCAAAGTTTCGTGATAACACAGTATTCTTTTCAGAAGCCATAAAACTACTTTTCTAGGATGACAATGGGGAATGAGTCCCCAGTGGCATGGTGTGATGCACTTGAAAAGGACTTTGACAAAGCTTTCGTCTCATTAGATCTGCTTCTTGGGGAGATTGACAGCGATCAGGTAATGGTTTTTTCAAAATTAGTTAAGGTTAATTATGGATGGAACTTATCTATGTTATTGACTCCAAAATCAAAGATTACTTTCGTTTCGAGCAAGCTGCTTCATTTTCCGAATTTTACTATTTTTCCCACTAAGTTTTCGCTTCAGGTTGAAATCACCTATGAAGGACGTCAGAAGATGACATCCCTTAGTGGTAGCTTTGCCCAACTAATGCACAAAGCACAATCGATGCATCACGCGTTATCCAGATACGAAAAGGTCAGCCAATTGCAAATATTCCCTAAGGGTTGCGAAGCTCATGCAGATGGAAAGGGATGCAACAGAAGGACACTTGAATTTCTTTAATTTATTGTTCTAGGAAGTCAGCATACTTCGAAGGGATCTGATAGAAGCTCGAGCTGATCGTGACGCGATGGAGAAAGAAATGCAGCAATTGATGTTACAGGTTAATCTTCCAAATTTTGAATAGCAAAGGAATTGGTAGAACGGGATAGGGGAGGGAGGAGGGTAATCGTTTTATTGCGAACCAGGTTCCTACTCTATTGCTTACTGCCTTTTTTCAAGGCCATTGAATTGTACAGAATTTGACCTTGTGTCTTTTACCGGCGCTTACTTACCCTTCGCTGTTTGCGATATCTGTGAATCAACTGCTGCGCGCGCTAAATGCGGCACGTACGCGGCGCTACCCAACGTGCCAGTTCTAATGGCATAGGTATTGTCTAAGCACAAATAGAGGTGCCTCAGCAATGAACTTTTTGTATGTCGTCGAATTCTTAAATTTTATTGGCTTGCTGCCCAAGTAAAATTTTGCATTAACAAACGAACTAATTCTAGAGTCATCCTTAGCCCTACTTTACAGGCGCTCTGTTTGAAGGAGGAAACATGATTCTATATACAATGAGGAAAAATGAGATTTTCAAAAAGGTTTTCTTGATAGCGAGATAATTTGACTCTGCAGCAAGCGTACTATGTTCTTCTCAGAACAATGTGGTTTTATCTTCTGTAAACTAATATCATGCATGTTTTTTTAGGTACACAGCCTTCAATGTCAGCTTCATGCAAAAACCGCACCGCACGAATCCGACATGATCAAGAAGAAACTAGTAAGCAATACTTCAGTGGTTATCCTTTTGTGTATTCCAAATTTCCTTTTAGGACAATCAACTCGGCCAGCTACATGATGTACTTATGCCATCACTCCGTACAGAATGTGAATTGGAAGTGCTGCGAAAAGAGAGCGATCGTCAACGGCATCTGATCGGGGCGCTGGAAACAGAGGTCTTTGGAGCGCGACTTGCTGCCAAGTATCTGGATAAGGTGGGTGAAGACTTCTGTAGTCGTCTGAGAAAGTTTTCCTCCGAGAAATTTAACTATTAGTAATAATAGTTGTCTACTTCAAACAGTGTACGATAAAACTATGTTGCATAGCCTTTTTGCCAATTTTCCACCTTTAAACGACCGCCGCTAAAATTCGGACAACCTAACAACTGTACTTGTACTGCTAACCCAATTGCACGTTATTCAGGAACTAGCAGGCAGAATCCAACAAATCCAATTGCTTGGACGAAATATGCGCGGAGTGGAGCATGATCGACTTTGGAATCAACTAGAGGCTGAGATTCACCTGCATCGACATAAAACAGTGATTCGTGCGTGCCGGTAAGTAATGAGAATTTCTGATAGTATGAGAAAATCTGGCTAAGCTTCCAGTTAAGCTATTGGGTAATGATTTTTTGAGTTCTCTAATTTTTTTTTCATACCACTGCGATTAACAGCTGAAGAAATAATTATCAACTAATACTAAAGGTCGTCTTGTACCGTCTGCTTCGTCAGCATAACCATTTTTCCCA